GGTGTTTACCACTGACACAAACAATCTCTCAAGCAAAGAGAGTTTCTCACCGTGGAAAATCACTGTGCGATCTTTTTGTGTTTTCTGTTGTGGGTTATTTATCAACTGCTAAAATTTCCCTTGGGGTTTTTGCCTTTGGCAGGGACTTTTATTTTTAAGTGTCTTAATTTGTGGGTTATTGTAGGACTGAAAAATATAAGTGGGCGTAATAAGTGGAAGCAAAGCGTTATGCATTTCTTTACATGACATATACGTATACATACATATGCGAACATTTATGACAAAGAAGAGAGCGTTCACGTTCTTAATATGATACACCGAAAATAAGCTATGAGAGCCGAATACCGTAGCCATGACGCATGTGTTTGGTGGAGTAGATTCTCAATAAAAATGGTGGGAAATCAGCTCTCCAAACTTGAAAGTAGTAAGTGTTACTGTGTGTTGTATGTTCGGCTTCTCCACAACTCCTGGAGCTCGGAATGGTGCGCGACTAAACTTAGAGTCTCTCAACTCCATTTGTAGGCTTAAAATAAATGTATGCTGCTATGATTCAGTGTGGCGTAAGGCGCAATCACTGGAGGCAGTGATCAAACCTAATGTTTTTCAGGATAGTATTAATCACTATGTCTGCGGAGAAAATATTACAACCAGAGACTATAACGATTATAAGAAATAAAATTAAATATTGTGCATAATTATTACTGAACAATGGAAAAGTTGTTTTCGTCTCCTGAGACGAAAATCGTTAGACTAAAAACTTTTTCATCTCCTAATAATTGTCTGTGACATTTACTTTTTTCGTCTCGCGAGACGATTATTTTATCATGGACGTTATTTTCGTCTTCTCATAACAATTATCGGGGGCTTTAATTTTTTTTCGTCTCGCGGGACGTTTATTTCAAGACGAAAATGTATTAATTATGTAGGAATTTTATTTTTTTCGTCTCGTGGAACGTGGATGAAAATGATTTACGTTTTCACTTAATAATTATATGGGACTTTTAATGAAATGCAACTTCTTAATTGAGTTCGGAGATTTAACACGTTAAATACTTAACGCCACGATTGTTCATGTTATGAAATCTCTATCATTCTTTCGATTTCCAAAAATGTGGTGTAAAATTAAAGGGCTTTGCTTTTACGCAGTTTAAATTTTTTTGCACAGGGTTGCCAGACGTTAGCAAATCAAATTCCAATGATCGTGCTCGGATATTTGCGTTTAATTTCGTGAAATCGGCAGTACATGTACCTATTCTATTAAGAGAAAACGTTAATTGTCGCCATGAAACAAGAAAAATAAAAGTCGCATATAATGATTATGAAAAAGGCGTAAATCATTTCCGTCTTAAAACAAACGTCCCACCGCACGAAAAAAATAAAAGTCCCATACAATTATTATGAGAAAAAGTAAATAATTCTCGTCTTAAAATAGTTATTATGAAAAGACGTAAAAATTTTCATCTGAAAATAATCGTCCGGCGAGACGAAAAAAATATATTTCTCGTAAATAATTATTATTCAAAAACGAAAAACATTTCTCTTAAAACAAGGCGACGTTTTTGATTCCAAATATTAGGACAGTTCCCAGTGACATGGTGAGCTCCCAGGGACTGAGTGTTCGTTTATGCCCAATATTGGGCATAATCTGGAATTTTTATCGAAGGTAACTTGGATATACTTCACTGCGCTCTTGGAGAATATGGCTCGTTACTTGAGATTAACGCATTCCTTAAGACCACGGGCTACCTAGTAGGTAATTAGAGTATAGGTAAATGATTCATTGTACATACATATGTGTCCCGCGCGACAGCACGTTGCACTTTTAGACCGCTTATGGGTTAAGGCCAATTATTTCTTGGTTTAAAACCATTTATAGAATTTAGGAAGGTACGGCAATTTACTTCCTAGTGAATTTCAAAGCCATTCAATTTTAATTCAGAGTGGTTAAGGTTGAAATTCACTCGGAAGTGAATTTTAGAATCTGCCTGATTGTCTTATCCACTGCGATGGAAATATAAGGTAGAGAAGTTCTTGATTTTTACTACTATTACGCATTTTTAAGCCGACTGAGAATTGCAGACGAATGAAATAATTGACAGGTGCTGAAGAAAAATTATTAGCTGCCGCTTATACTAGTCTCCCATATTTTCAAGACAGTAGTAGCGGTATGCGTGTAACGATTTAAAAATTGTATAAGCCAGCTGGGAATTGCAGATGAATCCAGCTTTAAGCAACTGGTAGTAGTAGATCTGTTAGTTATCACTGCAAATGACTTACAAACATGGCAATACCTTCCAACTTACTACATGCTTTGAGATCACCCAAAATGCCTCCTCTTGCGGCAGCAGCGAATGCAAACACCTTGCTCATGTGCTGTTTACAACCTAATTTTATTCGTATATTTCTGTTGTCCGATACTAGGTCGACTCTCGGAATTGATGTTACACAACAAATGAGCTTTTACTGCTCGTATTCGATTTTATGCATCAGCGAGTGTTTTTGCTATTATGAAAGTTTGTCGTTAGTACTACGAGTATGTTGTAGTGTTCTCTCTCATTTACGCTACCTTCGCTCGCCTTTGTCTTATTATCCATTCTAAGCTACGCTTGCAACTGAAATAAATTTTATCACTTCAGTTTAAGGCCGCAACAGCATCCTTTAGAGCTGTTGTGCGCCACCTAGCCAGGCTAACTCACTTGTGCATGCGAATTGGTAATAGTGTCACAACGTACATCGTATATACAGAGGATATATGTAGCTCTTCGGGGCAGCTATAACGTGAGTTATACAAATATGCTATGCATATGTAAATATTTATAAGTGTATGTGTATGTTTTTGCACCGACATACATACATACATACATGTAGAGGTATATACTTGTGAAAGTACTGGTACATGGGTGGGATTTTTTATAAATGTAAATAGAAATGTCGATGTACACCCATTAGGAATGCCGAAATCTCATACAAAAAAAGGAATGGCCGCGCCAGAATGGGTAATTTGCGTACGTTCTGCTCAAGGATGAAACTGACAGTTGAGCAAACTGTGTGTGCTTAGATAGAAAGTGTCAGATTGGCAACCCTCGTGCGCCGACGGATCCAACGAACATTGGCCAACACTCTAGTTGTATAACCTTGCGTTTACACAATACAAGATAATTGGGAATATGTATTAATTTTCACATTGTTTGAGTAAAGTACGTCCAGACAATAAACTGTTTGCGAAAAGCCAAAGATAATGACGGAAGACATCAAGAGAAGTGTTAATATTTAATAAAAAAAAAGTGAATGTTTTGCAATTGTATCTGCTAGGTGCGACGTACAAGTACCCATCCTGACGGGCCTTTTATCCTTCTAAGTATTTTAAGTATTGCAGATCTCTTTACCTTGTTCCCAATGGAATAATGCTTTCGTTTACGAAGAGCCTTTCATTAAGGCTCTGCTTTCAAACATTACAGAAAATAAATAATTCAATCGAAATACATTCTATCATAGCATTAAAAAAGGCGTGAGTACTAGGTACTCATGAAATTTGATGTGTAAACATATGCGAACGTCAAAGCATGAAAGTACGTTTACATATACAGAGTGGCGACGACTAACTTTTACCCAGGTTTTGTTGAGAAAAAAATGGTCCTTTATAGATTTTGCGAAAAAAGTATTTTATTGTTAATTTTCCACAGAATGTACTTCAGTTGTATTAACTAGTTTTTAAATTTTAATCCCTAGTTTGAAACTAAAGTTCATTTGGCACGCAGGTCTTCGTCAGTTAATTTATTCCACATCTTCTGTAACCATAGGCTAATTTTCGCCATTTTGAGTCCCTTATACTCCCCCTTCTTTCCAGCATAAGACCTCATATTCAAAAATCTAATAGACTCGGAACTGGTGACTAGGACTGCGATTCATTGGAACAACCCTATACAGTTTTTTTTTTTGTCATTTTTTATACAATGCCTAAAATGCGAAAATACACCTGAAAAAGACTTGCGTGGCAGATGAACTTTTCTCTCAAAGTTTACACTGCTGGCAAATGTAAATAAGGATTAAAATTTAAAAACTAATTATTACAACTAAAGTAAAATCTGTGGAAAATTAACAATAAAATACTTTTTTTCGCAAACGCTACAAATGACCCTTTTATTTCTCAAAAACCTGGATAACTGTTATTCATCGCCACGCTGTAAATATAATCTCAATCAAAGCTCATTAGCTGTCAAATTTGTTGTGCTTGTTATTCTCACAACTCGAGGAAAAGCTAAGCATCTTTTCTGTGCCACCGTGGTCACTTTTTTCGGCTATTATTTAAATATATTTTAACTGAATATTTTATTAAAAATACCTTTACAAACCTCTTTTCCTTGCTAGCGTTAATTTTTGTTTATTTTTACATTTGACATTCCTCCTCTTCTTCGCAAGTATAATCGATAAAACTGGGTTGGACACCAAAAATTTATCGGTTTAATCTGAGATTATTTTATAATTATAATTTTGTATGGCTAATCTCTTTTTCTAATTACAGATTAAGGAGTTAAGCTTGAAAATGAGGATAATATTTTTATATGTAAACCTATTGGGCGAATCAGTTACATAAATACACATAATTTTATTAATTTTGCTGATTTAATTTTTTTTAATCATTTTCATTTTTAATTCTTTTAATACATGAAAATATCGGTATAATTCATAAAATATGATACTTGCATATACTTTTGAATCAAGGGCGTTAAAATATCTTGAAAACACGGCATCCGGCATCAATTACTATTTTTGAGCTTGTTGTTTGAGCATATCTATTTGTATATATTCCTAAATTTAGTTTTTTAGGAATATGATTTGTGGTTCTGCTTCATCTGTCGCTAGGTTTACGTCAAAGTCATGAATACATATAGCATACCATCTTTTGTTTGCAAAATGGGAAACTAAATTCATTTGTTCGGCATTTCCTCATCCAATTAAAAAAACATCCTAGAGCAAAAGAGAAGGCACGCCCCTGTTACTCACTTTCGCTGCAATTATAACGAGTTGTCCCTTCTTTTTATCTACGTTCTTTGGGCATGCCTTACTCGCACCAATGCTGTGCACTCGCAAAGATAGTGTAGGAAGGTTTCTTTATTAAATAATATTTTGCGTGTGTAATACGCTGTGTGGGCTTAATCTTCCCGCCTTTCTATTTTTGTCTTCCAGCTCAGTCTGGTGTCTTATACGAAACCCAAGTATTTCGTCTCGGAGGACAATGTGAGGGTCGTTACAATAAGAGAATAAGCTTGAATTTTGGTATTTTTTGTTTTCTCGGTAAACTGTATCAGGGGGTTAATACCCAGGTCACTTTTTGTGGCCTGGGTGTTCAGCCCGAGTAAAGCTCCCTCTAGCACTTGGCTCATTGAGGGGAAGAGACCTGGTACTACATCATCTGCATATGCTACTACGTTCACTCCACTTTTGTAGAAATCCAGTAGAATGCCGTTCAGTGCGACCACCCATTGTAGCGGAGACAGAACTCCCCCTTGCGGAGTGCCTCTATTCGCTTAACGGGATAGTGTTACTGACCCATGGTCGAAATTATAATTCTGTTTCCACCTTTACAAGGGATCGAACAATTGCTTCGATTGTAATGTTATTGGAGGCCCCCTCTATGTCTAGGAAGGCCGCCAACGTGTACGGATTGTGTTAAGTCCGTGGATCTGATCCCCTCTGACCAACGGCTAATGGATTAGGCTGACAGCGATGCTCCCTCTGTGAAAAGACGTGACAGATTATCTGTCGCACACATGGAGTGCAGCAGATTAATATTTACTCACCTCATCTGCATCGGGGTTTGCATCAGCGATGTTGACGAACTTAAGCAACTGGATCGCATCGTCGACCTCCTCGGTGTCGTCTTCGTCATGAGCCTCGTCGCCTTGAAAGATCTTCATCGTGGCCATGCGGATGCCAAAGTGAACTTTGTTGGCGTCTTTGACAGAGCCTTAATGAATTCTTCGCAAATGGCCAAAAGAAGAGGTATGTTGATTTTAGTTGGTTTCTCAACTTTAATAAGTTGCGTGTATGTTACCATGTAGGTAGGTAAGTACAGATTTTCCGCGATTCCTTGACAGTTTTATGCTAAAAACGAGACATGACATTTAAAATAGCTCACCATTGATTGTGAGCTAATTCCTTCTAAAATGCGCTTTAGTTCGTATTAAATTCTTCAGTTCTTTTCTATGGCTTTCATACTCGTCATATCGCGATTTCCAGTTAAAATGGAATCATATCCTACATATCGATGGCTGAGTGGACGATCGACCTATCTCGGCAGCCAGTTCGAAAATGCCCTCTCTCAGGAAATTTTTTCTAGAGCGCCCTATTTCAGGATTTCGTTGAAGAGCGCCCTAATTTAGAATTTGATTGAAAATCGCCCTATCCCAGAATTCAGTTCAAAAACGCCCTATCAATAGGTCGATCTTCCACTCAGCCATCGATATGTAAAGTTCTAAGATCTGCACCATTCGCTAAATATTCAAAAATTGGGTGTCAAATAAAGCGCTTGGCCCGTAGTTGTATAAACTGGTTTTCTTTTTTCTAAAAAAGTTACCACCTGTTCAACAATTAAATTCGAAATATTTAATAATCAATGCCTTAATGACCGCACCGTTCGTTAGGTTTTTCAAAATCAGGTGTAAAATTAAAGGGTTTGCGTTTTACTTTTTTGAAAAAAAGTTGCCACCCTTTAAAAAACTATATTCATATTATTCAAAAAGAAAAATAATCAATTCTTACAAATTGGGAATCAATCGAAATGGCTTTGGAAAGCTTTGTTCTCAGCTTAACTATAGGAGGGTTGCCACCTGTTTAAAAATCAAATTCAATTTGAATTAAGGGAGTTGGGTAAGAGAAATATGTATCACGATATGGGTGCCAAACAAAAGGGGTTTCAGAAGGTGGTAGTTTGAAAATATTTTGAAGAAGGTTGACACCTCACAAGTTATATGAAATATCACAATATGGATGTCAATCGAAAGAGTGTTAAGAAATCTTTAGTTTGAATAGCAATATTTTTGAGGTGTTCGAAGAGGGCCACCTGTTTAAAAAGTTAAATTAAAATTATTTACTAAGTTAAATGAAGCTAAGCTTAATACATCAGTGAATTAAAAATTATGTATCGGAATGTTATACGAAGGAGATTACAAGGTTTTAGCTTGAAAATACTTTTAAAGAGTACTACCACCCGTCTAAAAGGTCAAATTTAATTGACTAATACAAAAATTAAAAAATCTTTAGTTTGAACATTTGGAAAGTTTGAAGAGAGTTGCCACGTGTTTAAAAAGTTACATTTAAATTATTTAATAAGTGGGATGAATTATTAAAAGATAGTTATCAACCGAAATGGGTTTGAAAACTCTTTATTTCTGACCTTTATTAAGGAGGATTTCCACGTGATTGAACAATCAAATTCAAGTTAGTTCATCAATTTGTTGAAACACAAGTATATCACAATGTCAGACGAATAAGATTTAAGAAGATTTTAGTTTGAAAATACGGAACAAGTGCAGTATACGTACCTTTCTAAAAAAAAGTGGGCTCTATGGAGGAATTTATAAAGATTACAACAACAAAATTTTTTTTGGTGGAAACAAAAAATGTAAGTTTGCTTTAAGGTCAAAAAGTAAAAAAATTTATGATATTTCAAAACATTATATATAAATACAATCATAAAAAGGGGTGTAAATCGAGCTTTTCTTTGATAAACAGCATGTCTTATCTGAACAATCGCAAGTATTTTTGCGCAGAACTTCTTTCTGCGTAGGCGGCGTTCGGCCGTACTTAGGGATTATAACCCTCACAAAGTAGAATTCGCCTTTCTGTGTTGCCAAAAAGAGGGGCTGAAGACCCTTTGCAGAGGACACCTTTCGGCCGCACTTAGGGATTATAACCCTCACAAAGTAGAATTCTCCTTTCGGTGTTGCCAAAAAGAGGGGCTAAACACCTTTTGCAGAGAACACCTTTCTGCGGAGGCGCCCTTCGGCCGCACTTAGGGACTATAACCCTCACAAAGTAAAATTCTCCTTTCTGTGCTGCCGAAGAAGATTGGCTGACCACCTTTTGCAGAGAACACCTTTCTGCGTATGCGGTCTTCGGCCGCACTTAGGGATTATAACCCTCACGAAGTAGAATTCTCCTTTCTGTGTTGCCGAAGAAGAGGTGCTGAACACCATTTGCAGAGTACACCTTACACAGTATACATTACGAAGTAAATATACAATAATAATACATTTAAAATAGGTAAAATGTAAATGTTTTAATTCAAATATATAGACCTAATGAAAGCTTATTTTCTCCTTTATGTGATTAGCTAATTTTTTTATGTTGTCAACGACGTAATTTAATATTATTATTATTATTATTATGAGCCTTGAGCACTGCGACCTCTAGGGTGGTCTATTGTGCGTGGCCCTTTACCCTATATATGAAGGCTTTTAATATAAGCTAGCACTTTGGTGGGCTTTTTGTTCCATATTTCGAATGGATTAAGTGTTGTACCACCTAGGTGAGCGAGTCTGCGTCTAGCGAGAGCAACACATTCACAAAGGATGTGTTCTGGCGTTTCTGCGTCCATCTCACAGAAGCGACAGACGCTCGTGTCTGAAAGATTCATTTTACTGAGGTGATAACGCAGGGAACAATGTCCCGTGAAGTACCCAGTGAGAGTTCGAAGGTCCTCTCTGCCTAGATTTATGAGCTTTTTTGAAGCTTCTTGTGATGGACAGATGAACCGCTTAGCTTGTCTTTGCCCCGGACATTCATTCCAGTGCCTGTCGAATTTTTTGTCGACCCACTTGTTTATGACCTCCCTTAAGTGGGCTTTGGTGAGCCCGCAGAAGGGTTCCGGGCCATGGAATAGTGTGGTAGCTCCGTGTTTTGCTAGGCGGTCCGCCTGTTCATTGCCGTCATGACCCTCGTGCCCCGGCACCCAGCCCAGTAATACTGTGTTCTTGCTTCCAAGACCGTTTAGGGTGTTGAGGCAGTCGTACACTAGTTTGGATGTTATTATGTGGGACCTCAGTGCTAGCAAGGCTGCCTGACTGTCCGACATAATGCAGATGTTTTTAGAGGATGTGCCTCTTCTGAGGCATTGGTATCGATCTTTTAAAATTCGCCCAAATATATAGCAGCTCCAGTTTTTCCATCTTCAAGTTTTGATCCGTCAGTGTACCAAACTTCAGCTCCGGGTTTGATATAGGGGTTTCCTGTGCTCCAGGATGCTCGGTCCGCAATAGATACCTTTAAATTCCTAGAAATTACTAGTATCGGAGCTACTGAGTCCCTCATATGCATTATGGGGTCATTTGTGAATTTCATAAGGACCTTCATATGACCTGTCATGTTTCCGGTTTTTAACTCGGAAGTATTTAGGATTCTCAGTGCCGAGAGACTGGCCTCCCTCTCTATTAGAATTGGGAAGGGCGGTATGCCTACAAGAGCTCTAAGTGCATCAGCAGGACAGGTCCGCATAGCCCCTGTTATACCAATGCACACCATTCGGTGTAGTTTTCTTAGTTTTGCGCTAGCAGTTCTTTGTGTCGCTTTTGTCCACCATGCCGAGGATGCATAGGTGACTATCGGCTTCACAACTGTCTTAAATGACCAGTAAGTCATTTTGGGGGAGAGTACCCATGTCTTCCCGTAAAGTCGCTTGCATGCGAAGAAGGCTCTCATTGCCTTGTTTACGGTTGCATCCAAATGTACATTCCAGGTGAGTGTCTTATCTAGCCACACCCCCAGGTATTTTGCTTCATTTGAGAGCCCTATTCTAGTGCCGCCCAGAGTCAATTCTGTCATGGATAACTTATTCCTCCGGGTAAACGGAACCAGAATAGATTTAGTATGATTAATGGATAATCCTTTGGTGTCACACCATCTTTGCGTAATGCGCAGGGCTTGTTGCATGCGGTTGGAGATCGTTTCGCCATGCAGCCCTGTTACACAAATTACCCGATCGTCTGCATAGCCTTGTGTTTCAAAGCCATGGTCGTTCAGTAGGAACAGGAGTTCGTCTATAACCATAGTCCACAGAAGAGGAGAGAGTACACCCCCTTGAGGGCAACCTCTTGTGGCTGTAATAGATTCTTTCGTGCCTCCCAGCTCCATCCTGATCTTCCTTGTCTTTAGCATAGAAAGCAATCAATTTATTATGATGCGGCTCACTCCCTTGCATATCAGGGCATCTCTTATTGCCCTGTATGACGTGTTGTCAAAAGCCCCTGAAATGTCAATGAAGGCACAAAGGGCTATGTTCTTAGACTCCAGAGCCTTTTCGATTTTCGATGTAAGGCTGTGAATGACAGTCTCAGTGGACTTGCCTGGTTGATAGGCAAATTGGTTCTTATTCAGTGGTCGTTCCGCTAGGTTGACTTCTCTGATGTGTTGATCCAAGATTTTCTCCATGCCTTTTAGGAGAAAGGAGCTGAGGCTAATTGGTCTGCAGGATGTCCATCTGGGAATGTGACCCAGTAGGAGCGATGCTCTGTATAGTCTGGAGAGGACTGGGGCTATGTAGTTGCTTCCTTGTTGGAGTTGACAAGGATAGACCCCATCTGGTCCTGGTGATTTGTATGGGCTGAAGGTAGATACCGCCCATTGCACTCTTTCTACCGTGGTAAGTTTAGTTGTAAGGCTTTGCTCCCTACCAGAAGTGCGTGCTGGGACACCCAATTCCGGTAGATAATAGCCCGCTTTGCAGCCCGGGAAGTGAGTGTCTAGCAGAAGTCTGCAAGTCTCTCCCGGATGCTGAGTATATCTACCATCTTGTTTCTTTATAGTGCCGATCGTATTTTTGTGTTCCCTATTTAGAGCTTTTTGGAGGCGTACTGCCTATGGGAGGCTCTTTATTTCCTCGCAGTGGTTTCGCCAGCTAGCTCTTTTGGATTTCCGCAATTCTTTGTTGTAAGAAGTTAGTGCAAGTTTGTACGGATTCCAATCACCCGTATTCTTTGCTCTATTGAATAGTTTTCTGGCTTGGCATCTCATTTGCTCAAGCTTCTTGCTCCACCAAGGCACATCACGTTTGGATTTTACCTTTCCTTGGGGACAACTACTATTGAAAGCTATTCCAATGTCTGAAT